GCCTTAGAGATGAGGGCATGATTCTTATACTCTCATGTAACTATAAGAATTTGGAAGTCTATTACAGGATCACACAGAATGATTTTTATTGGAATAATCTGCATGTGTATACCATGAAATATAATACAAATTTCTGAACAGTAGCTCCAAATCTTTGTACTTTCCCCATAGTGCTCAGCACAAATGGCATGTGAAAATCTTGGTAAATGACTACTGAATTAGAAAAGTGCTAGAGAGAATGTTTTAATTGAAAGACACACACACAGAGGTATACGATATGAATATGATAGGTATATGATATACAGACACATATTTTTCTTTTACTATAAAATATCATACAACACAAGAATAAAATGCAGTTATCATAGGAGAAACAACCATAATACATATTATGCAAGTTCAAATTGCATTTTTCTTCTGTAAAGTTTTTAACACATTCACTGCCATGTGAATTGTATCTAACTTACACATGAGGCCCGGAGCCTCATGAAGCATATATAACTCACACAGCTCTCATCTTGGGAGCTGCAATAACTATTTTTCAAGTTGCATATAACTCACACACAGAAAATAGAACATAACACATTTTCCATAGAGAGGATTGTTTTGTTTTTGATGTTTTTATTCTATTTCATAATAAAACACTGTAGCCCCAAGAGAAAAACATATTTCTAGTGTGGCCATGTGTTAAAATTTAATATGCTAACAGTAAGGTAAATTACCCAGCACTGTTTTGAATGTCCTCTTTCAGAAAAATATTAATTAGCTCCTAATATTAAAGTAAAAATTTTGAAGTAACAATGTGTACATTTTCATTTAATTACATATTTTCTAAAAGCAAGGATCCTCAAATTAACTATATTATACTTTGCAGATTTTTTTTACTTTAGCTGTTTGTGTGCTAAAACATACTTAATATAATCTTTTAATTAATTTCTTTTTTAAAGTTGATGGCAATAATATTATAGTCTGCAGCATGTCTTTACATTTTATATTAACAAAAAAGATTTGTGAATGTGGGTCTGTTCAAAGTACCAACCTAATCTTTTAAGACCTAATGCTTTGACATATTTGAGAATCAACACTTTTTAAATTTATGTTTCTTCTACCTTGGCCTTAGAGAATGCAAATTGCTGCTGTAAATGGATTAATTTAGTCTTCTACCAGAATAATATACTTAAAACTTTCTCAAGCCTTGAAACATGCTGAGTATTAAACATTATAATCCTCTTCCTCTTTTTTTTCTCAAAGGAATTAATTGCAGGTTAAGTATCTCCTCTTTTCATCATTTGAAAAAGTAAATGGTATTTGTGAATACTGTTATTTCTACTATAAACGAAAACAGATTAGTTTTTAATGTCATGTATCCTTTATTTAACAAAAAATTTAACCATTTCTTACCTGAATCCAGACCACATATATCATGAAAAACAATGATCTGAGAGATCAAAAGAAAAGTGAGCAATGTAGTTCTGAAAAATGAGACATGAATGGTTTTCTGAATATGGGTATGATTCAAACAGACAAGCACAGATAAATCTACATGAATATTGCATCTGGTTCATTGAGTAGCTTATAATTTTGAAACTGTCACATGTCAGCAAATACATCAACATGACTAGAAAATCAAAAAGGAACTACACTTCTGTTAAGTGCAATTGCTTCTAGCTCACATAAGATAACAATGACTATATTTTAAATAAAACACTAGCTTTATAAAGCAACTTAGTTTTACTCCTACAAAAGTAGTTTACTGTTAACTATTCCCTGAGTGAAGAGAATTGAACACACAAAAGGAGCTAAATAAAATATTTTAGAAATAATATGCATATATACATTTTATGTATGTATATATACATATATTTAATATATAACACAGAAATGGTCAAATGGTTATGGTAATTCCTTTTAAAATCATGTTTTGTAATTAATAATAATGTAAAACTCATGGAATCTTGATAATTATATTTCATTTTTTTAAGATGAGTTTTACTTAAGAGGTCATTATCTCTTAGACATGCAATAGACAATATCAAAATATATTTAAATATGTGAAGAGTATTTTAATATTGGAAAAATCTTGTAACTATTTTTTCTTAAAAAATCAGAATGTATTTATTGAAACCTTAAAATCTGTACCTCCATTATATGCCAAAATAAAAAATAAAATTAGAATGTAATTATCAATTATCTGACCAAGTTAGAAATATATGATATTATGTCAAGCTTGACTATGGCTTAAACAAACAAAAATTGTGAATTTTAGATGAATTTTACTTGGTGGGGGGTAGAGATTCTCGGGTTAATCAATCTGCTATTGTTACTTTGAAGTAACACTTTATGTTTCATACATCCTGCCATGATTTGTAACTGTGAGTCCTAGAAATGGACCTTAGCTTTTCTTTATTCCTCTTTTTCTTTCTCCTTCTTTTCTTACTTCCTGCCTCTTTTCCATTAGAACTATTCTTTTTAATCTAAATTCAATTGAAGCTTCTTGGTGTTCTATATTTATGATATATACCCTAAAATGTAACATTCAAGCAAAACATCAGAACTGGATTTTAAACTTTAATTTTAAAATATTCTTATGCTAGGGGTTGTTTTGAAATAACTTCCTTTTGGTGATGTTCCATTAAATAAATCTCCTTGCAAATTACTTTGAAAAATAAAACTCTAGAAATAAGTTCACATGGTTTACATTTCTAAGAAAATTGTATCATACATTCCTTCTGTTTACCAGTAAGTAATATAATTTAGACATTTATAAGGAGTGTCTTAAATAAAATTATTCTTTCAGTGAGTTGTTAATGAAACCATAGAATTATTCACTGTAAGTCAACATTTATAAAAATGATAATTTAATTACCAAAAGATCATAGAAATATATTTTGACAGTATATAAAAAGAAAGATATTATTTTGAATCTTTATATTTTACAACTGAGTTTTGTAAACTGTAAACTGAGTTTGCAAATGCTCATGGAGTCAATATAAGTGAGAGTGGTAAAATGAGTAGCAAAATCAGATTTTGCTCTTTTAAGTACCAATGCATAAACTCCACACAGTTATCTTTTTGTAAGTGGTTTTCAAATTGGCGTGGACACCTTTAAGAGAAGCAGTGTATGGAATCTGTAATAAGTGTGAAAGTACAGTCACCAATCGGAAACCTCACATTCCCGAAATCACTTGCAGTTCACATTTTTCTCCACGCAGCAGAATTTTAAATGTGGGGCATCTCTTGCTCTCCTTCTCTTTCCTTCCAATTGACTGTAAGGTATTAAGTGAACCCCCTTCAACTAGGGCACATGACACAAACATTGCAGCGCTGGTGAAAGGCATCCAGTGGGAGGGTCCTTTGACTTCCAGAACTCCGTAAGCGTCAAACGCTGACTCTCTGCTCCTTCATCTATTGCTCTCCCAATCCCTGCCACGGTCTCATGTCCCTCCTGTGCCTCTGCCCACCTGGGAAACATCGTCTACTCTTTAAAATACGGCGACGTTCTCTTCTTGGTCCACTTTTCACCGTTGCCATCAACATTTCTTCAAAACATTCTTATGAGTTTTGAGGTGGGTTTTTCACCCTCACTCCACTGTGATAGCCTTAAGTCGCTTCCAGAAAGAAATTGATGTCGATAACAATAACGAATATGGCATTACAGAAATGCCGACCCCTGCGATAAGGTTACTTGACGAACGCGTAGATTTAGACTGAGAGCATCATCCCTCCTTCCTTTGGGCTCCTGCCTGATTATCCATCTCCACCTGCTAGCAGCGGAGGAATTTTTGTTGTCGACTAACCCCCTCTAGCGCCGAGCTGGCAGCATCCGAGCTTGGCTGCCAGGCCGGGGGAGCGCAGGGCTTCGCCGAGCTCTGCAGCGCTCCGGGCTCCGTCCCTGCCCTCTGCACCCGCCTCGGCCGCTGGACGAGGGCGCGGAGACCGCGGACGCCGAGGCCTCTTCGCCCGGCCCCGGGGCGGGGGCCGTGGAGTCGCACCAAGTGGCCTGCACCGCGCCTTCCGACAGACCCGGGCGCCGCGAGGGAGTGGGCGCCGCGAGGGGGCGGCTCGCGCCGGGAGAGCCGTCCGCCCACTGCGCGCTCGGCGCTGCCGTGGATGCGGCCACGCGCCACCCGGCCCTTCGAGTGCTTGGAGCTCGCGGCTCGACGCCAGCACGCCGCGGGCGCTCGGGGGCCACAGAATCCCAGCGCCACGGCTGCGACGATGCTCGTGACCTCCACCGCGAAGGCACCGCCACATGGCGACGCGAAGACCTCGGCGAGCCCCGGTGCCGGGCACCCGCCGGTTTCTAGCCTGATATGACTCCCGTCCGCTGCTTCCGCCCTCGCTTCGCTTTCCTTAGACTCGAAGCAGCGGAGACGGCCACAGAGCGGAGGCGCTCGCCTTGGTGGGCAAGTTTGGGCGACCCGCGCTGTGGATCGGTCGGGCTGACCGCCGCCGCCAAGCTCTCCCCGGGACGGGCGCGCTGTCCACAGCACCCACCCCCTCCAGCGGCGGAAATGTGGATAAGTACCGGGGAGGCGGAGTCGGGAGCTGACCACTCTTAAAACAGTCGGCGCTGGTACCGTGGAATGGGGGGCGAAGTGCTTGGGGGACTAAGTGCGGCCTCAGAGATGCCGGGAAAGCGGCGGTCAGCGCCCGGGCGCGGCGCGGACGCGGCCGAACCGGAGGTGTCCGCGGTGCGAGCCCCTGCCAACGCCACTCAGGCGCGGGACTGAGGGCTCATTCCGCAGCTCACTCGGGCCACTCGCAGCTCCACGGAGCCGCCTCATTCGCTCAGTTCTCCTGGAACCGGCCGGAGGAAAGTTCTCGTGACCCCCACGCCTCTCCACAGCTGCTGCGCCTTCCACGCTTTTGGCTCTGCAAGTGCCCACTTTAGTCCAGAGAGGCGCTCGGGCCGTCCGAACTATCCGCCCCACCTGGCCGTCCCTCCCCGCCCCCATCCCCGCCGCGAGGCGCTCTCCCCCGCCCCTTGCTCCCCTCCCCCAAACCACAGCCTGAGCTCGCTCCTGCGCGCGCGCTCTCTCGGGCCCAAGTGAATAGTCCTCGCGCGAGCGGGACACTGTGGTGGATGCAATTCCGCTCGCCTCCAGCCTCCAGGAGCTCCCCGGCACCAAAGGCGGCGTCCTCCCCCGAAGCAGCTGCGCTAGCACCTGGGCAGCCTGGACCCTCGTGCCCTGCCCCCGGAACCTCACGCGGGGGGCGCCCCGGGACACCCCCTGCGGGCCGGGTGGAGGAGGAAGAGGAGGAGGAAGAAGACGTGGGCAAGGACCTCCACTCTATCCAAAACACCTACCTGCGCTGCTGCCACTTATCTTTAAGGAGGAGGAGAAGAGAGCCAGGGAGAGCCATGGGGGGCTGCGAAGTCCGGGAATTTCTTTTGCAATTTGGTTTCTTCTTGCCTCTGCTGACAGCTTGGCCAGGAGACTGCAGTCACGTCTCCAACAACCAAGGTAAGGGACGGGGCGGAGAAGCAGGAGGGGCAGGGAGGTGGAGGGTGCTTTGAGAACCAGCGGCACTGGTCGCCTCCTGCAGGTAACTTCCTCTTGGGGTCAGCTTCTCCCAGGCTCGCTACATGAGGGGTTCGAGGGGGTCGAGGGTGCCCCCTTACCAGAAAGCCTGGTCTACACCGCGCGGGACTGGCGACACCAAGAGCTACCATAGCCAAGATCCCTTTTGCTTCCAAATATCTTTAAAGAATTGCGTGAGCATCGGCAGTACTTGGGTCTCACCGCTGGCGGCCGCGGGACCGCTCCCCGCTGCGCTGTCTCCACTGGAGGTCAGGCGCTGTGGCACAGACTTAATGGAGACTTCTGGCTCTTGGCGGTGGCTCATAGCAGGGTAACGCGTGCATTCCTCCACATGCCTTCTTGAAAGGCAGACTGCTCCCGCTCAACCCTGTGACCAGTTATCAGCCTTTCGCCTCTAGTAGCTCAGTGCCGCCCTCGCCCAGCCTCAGCCCTTGTACCCCGTCTGCCATCCAAGCCACCGGCTGTAGACTCGTTCTAAATCATTCCTAGACCGGATGCCCACAGATTTGCCTTGTGGTTTCTCTTTCTTGCAGGCAAGGAGTGGATAAGCATTAAGTGTGAATTTCCAAGTTGCGAATATCTTATTCAAAAGTCAAGTCACTGACAGATTTTTTGGAGGACTTTGTTTCCATGGGTAAAGTGGTAGAGGGAAAGTGAATAGTGTGTGAAAGGCGATGGACAGCACTAAGAGTATCTGAGCATTTTCTTTCCTTCTAGTCAAACAATTTTTATTAAACATACCGGATTGAATTTCTGCTGTGAGTAAAGATCTACAAAAAGATCACCTTCATGTTCTAAATACTCTTAGACTGAACACTGAACAACCATAAAAGTTTTTCAGCATGTACCTGGCTTGACGCCGTCACTGGCACTGTGATGACCACCAATATGTCACCTGTTATAGCACGCTGTTTTAAATACTTCAAATATAAAACTGTGTGTGGTCAGTTACAGTTACCATTTAACATATAAGGAGTATGTTGCAGGGTCTCAAAATAATTTGCAGCTATAAAAATGGAGGTCACATGGCTTGAAAGTGTGCACTTTTTGTCTGAGGGAGAGAATGTTAAGAGAAGGCAAGTAAACACAGCCTTTTTTGGTCATAAACATATGACCATTTTATTTAGAAATGTAAGTATTCAGAATCAATATTTAGCTCTCATATAGACAATTGTTACTTTTGGCATGTTTTTCTAATTATTACTGTTTTTGTTGTTTTATTTTGCCTGACAGAGTGCACTAACAAATTGATAGGTGATTTTGGTAACCAGATATAACCCTCATGACTTTGAAGATTTATCACCTAGTAAGTGCTAGTTATAGTGGCACACTCTGCTGTGATGGTGTATACCTTTACACCACATCCCTCATTTGTTTTCAAGGACTGTTGGTACTAAATATCAAAGAAGTAGTTACCTTACCTCTTTGAAAATAGTAGATTGTTAAAAATATGTAATTATTTACTTGACCTTTTTTATTTTAAGGGGAGAAAACAATTTTTAATAATTGGAAAGTCAGACATTTATATTGTACTTTATAATAGTATCTAGGCATACTAAAGAAGTTTATTAGAAGTTTTCAACAATTTTCCTAAAACAACATTTATTTAAGTACCTGTGATACATCAGTAACCAACCTAGGCCCTGGAGATAGTAACATAAATAAAACATACCTGAATCTCAAAATGACTATAGTGCCATTCTACCAAAATATGTCCTGTTAAAATATGGCCTTTCAGATATTCACATTAAATTTAAGTGTATAGTGATATTTATTAACCTCTTATGATAATTTTTATTTGCTTCTCTGTTGACTTCCTCATACTATTTTAAAAGGTTTTATATAAATATATGCCAACCATATTTAATTTGTTTTTATTAATTAGCTTAACTTAGTGAGTATTCCCTAGTTTTCCTATCAGTTAAATAGGAGCATTATACATTATCTACTAAAACTCTTATTTTGAATTTGTATTAATACATTAAATACACAGGCTGTGAATAGGAATACACTTGGGTAAGATGGTAGGTAAAGATTAAATTGGGTAGAATTTGACATAGTTCTTCAAAAGAAGATATAGGAAAAGTGTGATCAGACTTTTTCATCAAACACAAATGACTGTTTATAAAATGCTTTTAACTGCCTAAAATCATAGTGATCAGAAATTTTTTCCTGATAAAATTGAGATAACGCCCAAATACTGAATTATTATACTAATGGATAATGAATGCCAACTTTCTAAATGTTACTCTAATGAACATTTTAGAGATTTAAAAAAATTTTTAGTTTCATAAATAGATAACAAATAAAAATATCTCATCAATTTTTAAACATGGGAAACAAGACACTATAGAATTATCATGTATACAATATAGAAAAATTAATGTAAAATATGTTACTTTTCATACACATAAAATAAATATTGCTAATATTATTTGTGTTTAGTTTAGAGAACTTTTTATTTTCCTAGTAATTTTTTCACTTTAAGGACTAAGGGAATTAATGTTTTGTTTTTGAAATGTTATTTTATAGAAGGTAAAATTCCATTTTTATATAACTTTCCTTGATTAGGAAACATAACTTCTTGATTAGGGACATTTACAAAGTAAAATTTGAATGCTATGTATCTATTTTTATGAAATTTTATAAAAATACCTTATGGCCAAAAAGAATGGATTCACCTCCCCCCAATCCAACTGCCTATTTTCTGTATGTAAGCAAGATAAAACGATGACAATGACAAAAAAGTGAACTACTTCATTATTTGAACATGGTACTAAGAGTAACTTGCATATAGAGAGGATCTCTTATCTTTTAACTGACTGTGAAGCTATGCACTGTAAAGACAAAATAAATCAATTTGACTCTCTCTTTCTATTACACAAACCTCCTTGAATTGATCAGAAAGTAAAGGTGCTTCCTAGATCACTTTATCTGATAAAGTAAGTGAAAACATGAATTGTGTTCAAATCTTTCTCATATTCCATAGATTTTCCCTATATTTAAAACCACAGTATTAGGTGTTGGTAATTTTTATTTAAAACACCATTTTATCTTCTCAAGATATATAACTTTTCATTTCTACACTATACACATAGGTGAATAAATGAATAAAACACCATCTTGCTTCACGTATAAGTTAACCATGTAATGTATATTAATTACAGTAGCTAGTAGCCACCAGGGGTCAATTTATTCAAAGATTACAGCAAATAGTACTTTATGACCTAAATGAGTTGATGCATCTCTCAGGGTGTGGCTCATTTTAAAAAATAATGCAATAGCATACTCAACTAATTAAGTCAAAATATTGTATGGATACAAGAGTAGTCAACTTATTTTACTACCAATATTGTGTGAATCAATTTCCTCCCCATGCAATTCAATGACAAATAAAATACACAAGCAAAACAATAATGTTGGTTTCACTGAATTTATTAATTTGAGTGAATTGACTGCAAAATCCACTGAATTGTAGGTGAATACGTGTAAACATATCTAAGCAGAAAAATAATTGATTAACCAAATTCATGGGCTAAAATTAGTTGAACTTCTGTAAGTATTGTTCACAAACTGTAAGATTGAATAGTATTCTTATATTTATAGAAATGGAGAAATTGGGATTTTTATTAGACTATCTAAAAATGAACTTTAAGTATTTAAAATATTAAAAGTTTTGTTAAATTAGGAAAATTGGATTATTTACAGAGAATATTTTTGAAAGACTCTTCAGTGAGATAAAATTAGTTTTCAGGGATAAACTATTCATAGTTGTAAAAATGCAAGAGATTGTTATCACATGCCTTCTTATTAGATATAAGTATAAATACAACTTAGAATATAATTTATTGTACATTTGCAAAATGAAGTAAGTCATTGTATAATTAGTCTTTCTTTATGATTATCACCCAAAGTAGAAAGATAAAATATTATTTTATGCAGATCCAGCAGTGACTACATGTTGTTTGTTCTGGGTTTGGGATAAGACTATAACTAAAAACTTTTTCTTGTACAAAAATTATACTATGTTCATAATTTAATAATCCATTATTCAATCCAGATGTAACTTAGAAGAATATAGTAAAAGCTAATGTAGTGTACATGAATAAAACCCTTTTATATGAATTCTCTAAGAAGAAAAATATATGTTCAGTAGTACAAGAGAAATTAGATTCAATTACATCTTTTTACTTTTGTGTTACTTTTATATTACAGATAAATGTTAGAAAAATATTTGAGTTGAAAGCCTTTCCTTTTAGTATGTTTCTTCATTAATCATTTCTAGTATAAACTACTTAAGTACAAAAAGGCATCATAGATTTCCTGTATTTTCCTCTAACAGCCCTCTTTCCCTATTAGACAATCTCAATATCCATCCCTCACATATACAAATATTTCTGATTATATGCTCCATTTGTCCCAAATGGTTAAATAGATCCTACTTTACACTTTACCTCAACCAAATGCAAACAGTAATGCAAATTTCTTCAGTGTACCCTTGACTCAACATTTCTTGGAGATTAATATACATAGTTTATTGATAAAATGAGGTTAACTTTGCCCATTGTACATTGTTAATCATGTAATCAAATGAAACTCATACAGAGGATTAAATTGCTTGCACATTTACATCTTTCTATTCAACTTACAATTTCATTATACTGACATTATTCTTTAAAAAATTGAAAATGTATTACTTCTGCTCTTACCTTATTTTATTGAGTATTGTTTTCTTGAATCTAAAATTTAGATGATGGATAAAATAAGATAACCAAGGCAGACATGTTGTATACTCTCATGGAATTTGGGTAAGGAAATAAAACAATAAAGGTTTTAGGAATTCTATGAAAGAAGCAACAAATGCATAGAGAGAGAGAACGATAAGAGAGACATGCTATTTTAGATGGGGCAGTTGGAAAGGC